GGGGGGGGGGGGGGGGGGGAAGAGACACATAGAGAAATAAATGTACCAAGTTTAGGTTAGTATTATCTTAGATTTAGCTGATATTCTTACTATATAACATGAACAATCATCCTGCCTAATGGAGAGATGCACACTTTGTGGGATTTTTGTTTTTAGTAAAGCCTGCATTCTACTATCTTTTTAGGTTACATCATACTTATCTGGAGACATGCCTTCACAATGAAACCTAAAAAACTTTATCAGTTTTGACGTACTATACTGCCCCCATGAAACAATACAGAATTGTGTAACTTTATATTTCATAGAGAAGGCAGAGACCCCTCCTCGTCCCCATAATACTCTGATGTAGGGGAAAGAGCACTGAGCTATGAGCCACAGGTTATGGATTCACTTCTCCACCATCTGCTATCTGTATTTATATGTACTTTAAAACCCTTACAGTTAAGCAATGCCTCTGATATCTGACCTTAGGGGGAAGCAAGTATCACTTTCTCCCATTTTACAAATAATTAGCTAAGAGCTTGCAAGATCACTTCTACAGAACTAGAAACAAAATGTGAGTCACAGTCATGCTATCACACTAGCTTTCTTACTGAATGCCACACACATAGGTACTCAGCTATCCTGCCTAACTACAATACTACATTCTTCCTAGATGCAAAACTAGAATTCAGGAACACTGACTACTGGGTCTGCCTTGCCACCAGCCCCGCGCCCAGGGGTTCTACCCAGCCGGTGGCCCCACATGCAACATCACAGCCATCAGCCCCAGGCACAGGAGCTAGTGAGGGGCAGCTCAGATTTCAAGAGAGTCTTTGACAAGGTCCTTCACAAAGGCTCTTAAGCAAATTAAGCTGTTCTGGGATAAGAGGGAAGGTCCTCTCATGGACTGATAAATGATTAAAAGATAGGAAACAAAGGGTAGGAACAAATGGTGGGTTTCCAGAATGAAGAGTGATAACTAGTGTCCTCCAGGGGTCTGTGCTGTGACCAGTTCTATTCAATATATACATAAAAGGTGGTGAGGTGGCAAAATTTGCAGATGATACTTAACTGATAGTTAAGACAAAAGCAAGTAGTGAACAGCTTCAAAAGGATCTTGCAAAATTAGGCAACTGGGCAACAACATTTTAATGTTGATAAATGCAAAGTAATGCATATTGTAAAACATACACCCAATTTATACATAGAAAACGCTGGCGACTAACTTAGCATTACCACTTAAGAGAGATATCTTGGAGTCATTGTGGAGAATTCTCTGAAAACATCCACTCAATGCACAACAACAGTCAAAAAAGCAAACAATGTTAGGAATAATTTTTAAAGGACAGAGAATAAGGCAAATAATACCTTATTCCCTTTGTATAAATCCATGATACACCCACATCCTGAATACTGCCTCATCTCAAAAATGATATCTTAGCATTAGAAAAAGTTCAAAATAGGGGAAAAAATGATTAGGGGTTTGGAACAGCTGCCATATAAAGAGAGATTAAAAAGACTGGGACTTTTCAGTTTAGAGAAGAGGCGACTAAGGGTCTATATGATAGGTCTATAAAAATCACAACTGGTGAGGAGAAAGTAAATAAGGAAAAGTTATTTACTTGTTCCCATAACATAAGAACTAGGGGACACAACATGAAATTAATAGGTAGCATGTTTAAAACAAACAAAAGGAAGTACTTCTTCACACAACGCACAGCCAACCTGTGGAACTCCTTGCCAGAGGATGTTGTGAAGACCAGGATTTGAACAGGGTTCAAAAAAAGAAGTAGATAAATGCTTATTAGCCAGGATGGGTAGAAATGGTATCCCGAGCTTCTGTTTGTCAGAGGCTGGGAATTGGTGATGGGGTGGAATCATTTGATGATTACCTGTTCTGTTCCCTCTTACTTTTCTGAATAGCAGTAATCTCCACTGATAGGACCACTTAGGGCAGGGGTGGCCAACCCATTTAACAAAGAGCCGAAACAGTGGCAGAAAAAATGCACAGAGCCACACCAGAATTGTCCGGGGGGGGAGGAGGGGGGGGAGAGAGAGAAAAGAGACTGCCCCTTTAAGCAAGCTAGCTTAGGCTTTTTGGCCATATCAGGCCATTTTGAATCGTCGCCTCAGTGAGCACAAGGGGGGAAGGGACGCAGAAGCAGCTTCACAAGCCTCACTTTTGGGGGAGAAGAGCTGCATGTGGCTCACGAGCTGTGGGTTGGCCACCCCAACTTAGGGAATAAAGGGCTTTCCAAAGCATGTAAAGGTACCTGTTTGACAGGTGGAAAGCTATCTTGTGAAAAAGTCTGATCTGTTTTTATTTCACAATTGTTCACTACTACTCGAACTTTTAAAATTGCTATGTCTTCATAGCACAGAGACACATGTTTGCCATGTCTGCATAACACATGCAATTACTAGCACTTGATCTAGAAAACCATTTAACCACTAAAGACTATTTTCAATTAAAACAAACAACAAAAGTACACCCTAATTGGTACTTGGTAAGAGGAGTAGGTTAATTAAATACTTACTTTAAAAGTAAGTCACTGAAGAAAACATTAATTTGGTTTAGTCAGTACCAGAGTAAAAAAAGAAATTCAGTAAACAGCTAAATGCTGTGAGCTTTGACTTAACTAGCACAATTCAAAATATTAAGTCCCCTTGTTTTCCTATATGCCAAATAAGTCAAATAATTATTTTCTGGTACAATATACATTCTGAGCAAGCACATTTCACTCAGGCTACATCTACACTGCAAGGTTTTTGCACAAAACCAGCCGTTTTTGCGCAAAAACCTGTGGAGCGTCCACACCTCAAATGCACTTTTGCGCAAGAAAATCAAGAGTAAAACAGCAGAACAGAGGGTTTTTTCTGCCATAGGTAAACCTCCTTTTATGAGGCATTAACTCCCTTTTGCGCAAGAATTCTTGTGCAAAAAGGCAAGTGTGGACTCTCCAGAGGGGTTATTTGCACAAGAAACTCCTATGGGAAAAAAGCAGAGGTGCTCTGATAGCCATTCTGTGAATGGCCATCAGAGCTTTCTTGCACAAGAGTGTCCATGCATTGTGGATGCTCTTTTGTGCAAAAGCACATCACTTTTGCGATGTGCTTTTAGGTGTGGACGTGCTCTTGCGGAAGAAGTTTCTTTGCAAAAACTCTTGCACAAGAAGCAAGTAGCGTATACCTAGCCTCAGAGAATCAAGCATGCATCAAGGAAGGATGTGCAATTAAACACTGTCAAAAAATCTTTCAGATGCACCTTTCAGAAATACCAGGATGAACACTTACCTACAATATGGATCCAGCTCATCCAGAGTTTCTCTACCCTTTGTCACCTGTCACATTTTCCCATGAGTTGTACTATTTCAATATAAATCAATATTGCTTAATTGAAAGCAGAAACTAACCCAATTTTCTCACTATAACTGCACTTGATCTTGAAACAGAAGTTTTAAAGAAATAATGCTATTCTATTTTTTTCTAAAAGACAGCTCTTCTACTAGCCTACTTTCATTTTAGTTATTACCCACCTTGTCTCAATGAGGTAAGCAGTGTAGGTTTCTTGAATGTTCATGGCATTTCTTCCAGTCCGTTTTTCGGCTTCTGAGACCGTGATCTCTATTTTCTTCGATAAACAATCCTCCATTGTCTTTAAAGAAAAGTGTCACACCAATCACATACAAAAATTTATGTATCAATTCCTTCCTCCGTTCCCTCATCACTACAATTTAGGTAGTAAGGCTTCAAACTTGCAGAGACTTTACTCTCATGCTTAACATGCTGTAAGCAGTACTGTACTACTGATAATGAATAAAGTTAAGCATATGTGTAAATCTTCAAAAAAACATTTTCATGACTTTCTTCCTTGCCTTACATGTAGAATTTCCACTCTTACTCTTCAGTAAAGAGACAAATAGTAATTTTATTTGCTTTACCCAGTATAACTCCAAGAATGATTTTATTATTTATGTCAGTACAGCACTTAAAAGCCTGTGCCTGGACCTCACTCTGCCAGCACTGTACAAATAGAGCAAAAAGATAGTTCCTGTCCCAAAGAGATTATAATGTGAAGAAAAGAGATAGACAGATAAAGACAGATGGGGAAAGCCCAAGAAAATAAGTGAGAATATCAGTCAGTGTGACTAACAGCTCTCTCAGTACATCATCTGATCACAGGCAAGCGGTAGGCTTTATGGTCAAGAAGAGTTTTAAGGCAGGAATTGAATAATATCAATAAATATAGATCTGCACATGCTTATAGGGAACTCCTCCCAAGCATGAGGGGCAGCATGGTCAAAAGCATAAAAGTGCTTGTTTGAAAATTTAACAAGTGGATGGTAAAAGTTGGCATCAATGGCAGAGCAGAGGCAGGAGGCAACATCTCAATAGCATATGGTAGGCTGTAAAGGGGCCTTGAAAATGAAAACTAATTTATGTTTAATGTGATGTAGAAAGAGAAGCTAGTGAGCTATGAAAATGACTTTTACAACAGTACTGGGACTGGATCTGTGTGGGGAAAAATTACAGCAACTAACCTCTCCTACTCTCTACTCTAGAATGTAATCCTGCAATCTCTAATTTTTCAAGAGAAAGGTTCATGCCATAAGCAACCTTAGAAATAATACAAAATCTCAGCTCTCCAGTAGAAAGAAAGGTATACAGTACACATATAAAGATCTACCTTCACATTCTGGAAGCTGCAACAGCTGTCAACAGAAAACAGACTTACCATCACACAAATGCAAAGACATTTTTCTTTAGCAGAGGGCTCTATTAAAAGATGGTTTATCACTGAACTTTTGGAGGGAGGAAAAAAGTTTAATTTCTACAACAAACAAGCAGAGAAAGACAATACAGCAATACAAACCATTGTGGCTGGCTTAAATTTGCACTGCCATTGGAGCTAAAACTGGTGCAAGACTTTCAGGTAATTACCAGTATAGGAAAGCAGAACATGGCATCTGTTGGGTAGTGCAAAATTCTACATAGTTTAAGACAAACTAAAACAAAACATAAAAGCCCTGTTCTACTGACACTGCATTTTCCCTATGTAAACTCACCGGGAAATTAGTCAGATTGAATTTGTGTAGGTAATTTTTAAACAAGAACTAAGATGTGCTACCATCAGTACCCAGCCCAAATTCAACATGACTGAATTTGGAGAGAATTTTTATGGAGGGACCTTGGTGTTGTCCTCTCAGTCAAGTCTTAAATGACAGACTCACATCAGTGACTTTTTTTAAGTTGCTAAAAAGATATATTGTGAATGATACATGTAAGATTTACCTGTATTACAGCAGAATGTAAATTATGGCATAAGACCAATAAAATATTCAAGGAAATGGTATATTTGAGGAAATGTAGAAAAAAATCCAGCAAAGAATGCTGTTAGCAATCTTATATTATACATGCACATTGAAGCACAAATTTTCCAGAATTGCTCTGGAAATTCTGGCTCATCATCCATATGAGGAGCAAGTTATAAGGCTGAAATAGAGGCCACAAGCCATCTGTGCCTGTTCACAGATTATAAAGCCAGAAGGAACCAGGCAGTGATCATCCAGTCTAGTTAGGCCATCAGACTTTCTTGACTTAATTCCTGTTTGAACTAGACCATAGCTGTTAGAAAAACATCCAACCTTGATTTTAAAAATGAACAGTGACGGAAAACCCCTGCTACAACCCCTGTCAAATTAAAAATGTACACCTTATTTCTAGTCTGAATTTGTCTTGCTTCAACTTCCAGCCATTGGATCTTGTTATTCTCTTGTCTGTTAGAGTGAAGAATCCATTTTCAAATGTTTACTGCCTATGCAGTGAATACTGGGGCCAGTGAATGTGTATATACATGGACCATCTCCAGTGTGTCCTTTTGGGTCTGTCTAAATTGACGTGAAGACAATTTCAACAACATGTAAGGGACTGCACAAGTAGGGTGCTGTAAACACTCCATACTTAGCCAGCAACCTACAGCACCCTACATGTGCAGCTCCCACACAAGATTTAAGAACACAGGGTCTTGTGCTAGCCCTCCACAATCCCAGGTGAATTTTACTGATTACTATTAGTAATCTTCTTACTCCCCACCTTCCCATCACACCCATCTGCATACACAATTCTGTTAGTCTGCTCACTTAGAATTATAAGAGCTATATTATTTATTCAAAAGCTTCAGAGGGGAACCGAGTTAGTCTGTAACAGGAAAAACTTAAAAAACAACAAATAGTCTAGCAGCACCTTGAAGACCAACAAAACAGGTAGATGGTGATATGAGCTTTCATGGGCAAAACCCACTTCTTCAGATGCCCGGAGTATAAAAAGTCCAGATCCAAGAATAAATAAGGGAAGGAGAGTGGGGAGAAGGAAAAGGAGACAGTGAGTAGGTAGTTCAAATAGTTATGAGGCTAAGAACCTCCATTGTTTGTTCGGTTGGTTAAGTCATTAAAAGGTGCAAGATAGTGTATGAGCCATCCTATATCCTGGTTCAGATCATTTGCATAAGAATTAAACTTGTGAATGAAGTTAATATTAAGTTTATTAATGTTAAGTTTATATTATTTGTGGAAGCGATACTTACATAATCTACTTTTAAAGTATTAGCCACCCTCAAGAGTGTGATATTTAAGAGCAACTAAAGAATGAACAAACAGGATTTTCAACAATTTATAATCAGATGATAATTCCACAATGCATCTATATGAGGTAACTTTAAATTCCTATCCATATCCCTGAGTAGCTGCTACCCTGAGACTTTGCTGACTATAATGAAGCAGTTATTTTAACACGCAAGCAAAGTTCACAAGTCTCCTCAAAGGACTTTTTCATTCCACCTTTTGAATGAAATTTGTTAATAGTTTCCATAAAAGTAAGGTTACTTAGAAAGAGCCAAGATTTTTAAGATCCTCATCTCACAAGGCAATAAAGGTCTATATATAAATAGAACTAAATGTTTTTTGTGACTGCTGTATAGACCTATGTCTACTATAATGGGTTTATGCCATGCCCTGTATGTTCAGCCAGTTTTCAAAGAGTTTCTCTAATGTAGACAGGGCCAGCTGTGGAAAGTTTGTAGTATAAACACCAACTCACCTCCTGATTGAATACTGATAAGTTACCAACAGAATACATTATGTAAGCCATGAAAGTGGACTAAGGATGTCATTAAACCACCATTTTGAATCTGTTTCCCAACAGTTATCCCAATAAAACAGTCATGCCATTTATTAGGAGCCAACAAGATGCATGCCAATATATTTTAAAGTGGTTTAAAATCTTTTTAAAAGAACATCAGTGATAAGCTCCAATGCCTTTGCACAAATGTGTTGTATATAAACAAACAAAAAAATTATGAATATACACACATTTGGTTATCAAAATTCAGTGTTAGTGGAAGAAATGGGTGAGCAGAGGAGTTGAGAGAGTCCAATATTATTTCAAATGACTTCTGTTTATTACAATGCTTTTCTACCACACCTTCCAAGGGTCTAAAAATGCTTCATATGTACTAGTGAATTTAGCCTCAAAATGCCCCTGAGAAGTAGGTGTCATCCCCATTTACCAGACGGGAAAACAAAGCATGAAACGTTATAGATAGGAAGTCAAGGCACACAGATTGAGCTTCTATCACCCCATGAGAAAGGCGGCTACTCTGGGCAGTATCTACGGCAAGCACAGATCAGCTGGGTACACCACGGGGAAGGACAGGACCGAGGGAGAAGCGGTGCTTTAGCAGAGGCGGAGGTGTATGTGGGGCGTTCGCGGGAAGCCATGCAAAGGTGCTGGCGTTAGGTTAAAGGCTCAGCAAAGGCTGGGGCACAAGTCACCTAGGAAGGAAGGAGGCAGAGGAGGGGAAGTAACCGGCCGGGGTTCAGAGGGGCCGGGCAGGGGCAGCGGAATTCACCCGGGACAGGTGACTAGGGGAGGCACTTTCCACCTGTCGCTTCGCCACACGCAGCTGCCGCCGCAGCGCATCTCAAACTCGGGCCCCGCCGGCCGGGCCTAGCGCCTCTCTCCCGGCCCAGCCCCGCTCGCCGCCCGGCCGCCACCGGCAGGAAAGCGCGGCGCTCGGCAGAGGCGCCTAGGCCGGGGCGCAGCACGGCCGCCGCCAGCCGCGCCGCCCGCTCGGCCCCCTCACCGTGTCCGTCGCTCCGCTACCGGGCTCCTCCAACACGGGCCCGCTGCCCGCCTCCGCCTCGCCCGCCGGGCCGCTGCCGCTAGCGCCGCGCTGCTCGCCCTCCGGCCTCTCCATGGGGAAGGGGGCTCGGCTCCCCCTCCGCGCAGGCGCTCAGCCGCGGCGGCTGAGGCCGGGCAAACTCATCGCAGGCTCGGGGAGAGCCCTCGGGCCGCGGCTCCCCCTGGCTGCAACCCCCGGCAGCGGAGCCTCCGCCGGTCGCCCGGGGCAACGGCGGGGGGGGGGCCCAGTCACCCCGCTGCTAAACCCGGGAGGGCCCCGCGACAGCAGCGCCGAGCCCGACACAGCTGCCCATTCGTATTCGCCGCTGCAAGGCTGTGGGCCGAGCGCAGGACAAGGGGCATCCCTGCTCTGACGCCATCCAGCTGGCCCGGAGGAGCTGAGGCTTGATCCTGACAGGACTAGGCATTGTGTGTGGGACCCGTCGTCGTTTCTGCATTGCCGGTCGCTGGCTGGTAAATAACAAGCTCGCTGCTCCTGTTACGTGCTGAGCGCGCTGTGATAGTGGCGACATAGTCAGGGGAGTGTCACTGACTCCCTCTTCTGAAGGGGAACCACAAGCTTCTTTCTGAGCCTTGTGTTAATGAATAGTCACAGTTTAGCGACTCTTGTATCTTCCCTCCAGGCTCGATTGCCCGCTTGCCCATTCTTCCCATAAGAACAGCCACACTGGTTCAGACTAAAGGTCCCTTTAGCCCAGGATCCTGTCTTCCAACAGTGGCCAATGACAGGTGCTCCCAGAGGGACTGAACAGAACAAGTAATCATCAAGCCATCTCTCCCCTCACTCATTCCCAGCCTCTGACAAACACAGGATAGGGGGCACCATTCCTGCCCATCCTGGCTAATAGCCATTGATGCACCTCTCCTCCATGAATTTATAGCTTTGTTTTGAACCCTGTTAAAGTCCTGGCCTTCACAACATCACCCTGGCAAGAAATTCCACAGGTTGACTGTGCTTTGGGTGAAGAAATGCTTCCCTTTATTTGTTTTAAACCTGCTACCTATTAATTTCATTTGGTGACCCCCTAATTCTTATGTTAATAACTTTTCCTTGTTTACTTGTTCTCATAACATACTATTTCCCATAGGCATCTTCATGCTTTCGTCCATTTTACCCCATATACATGGCATACCCTTGATGAACTAATCCTTAAACTCTGTTCTTCAGATCCCTGCTCAAACCCCACTTCTCTCATGACAGGTACAGAAAGACAGCTACAAATTATCTAATTTATTTGTTCTTTAAACTGGTGTTATTGTTCTTTTTAATTTGTCCTCCTTCCCCATTCCTTCTGATTGTTGCACCCAATTGTTTCATCTTGTCTTAATTAGATTATAAACACTAACTCTTCCAACATAAATGTATAATATCTGGTGCCATGAGGCCCTGATGTCAGGGCCTGTGGGCACTATTATAATAGAAATAATAATTAAGCTGAATATATTTCATTGTATCTTGATAAGTAAAACCGTGTTTCATTGTTTTTTCAGTGGGCACAACTTCAGCATTAACCACAGCTGAACTTGCATACATTTTTCATCAGTAATTTATCTTTTTCTCCCAACTGCATTTCAAATAAACCCCAAAATCTTCTTCAAAGATCTGTGAAAGAATATCCTGCATCTGGTTTCTATTCTGTTGTCTTCAATGTTTGTACAAATTTCCCTTTAGCTGATTTGAACTGTTATCTCACCCTACTTTCTAGCAGGACAGAGTTTTCCAAGCTTTTCCACTGAAGGGTTTCTTGGAATGAAACCCTTTTACAAATATGTGAACTGTTGATATGTCCTTTGAATATGATTGATTTAAGATTTGTTTTATAAACCCAAAGTTCAGTTTAGATGTAAATGCATGATTGCACACTGTAGCATAAAATCTGTTTCCCATTATGGTGTGGTCTTCAGTATGTTTACTCAAGATATACATTAAGATACATATCTTGTATCCATTACATTTGCATTTAAAGGATGTGCATACTCAAATTTTTCTGATTCATATCAGCAATATAATTGACATTCTTTGGTGAAACCTATATACTATATCAAACTGTTTTATTATGAATAGAACACTATTAGTAAAAAAAAAAAAGTAATAATACACCTTTCATCCAGTTATGTCAAAAGCTCTTTAATAATGAATTCTCTCAATATCCTTGAGCGGCAGGTAAACATTATTATATCTGTTTTACGGATGGGCAAACTGTATAGAAAGAGGTCGAGTGACTTACAGAGGATCATATCAACAGAGATGGGAATAAAAATCCAAAGTAATGAGTCTTACTTAGGAGCCTTTACAGTAAACAACATTGCTTCTCTGTGAATTAAGTGAAAAGCAGGGAAAAAAACCACACGGGGCAAGATTTTGCCAACATTCAAGTGGAATAGTACTTTTTAATTATAAAAGAAAAATATTGCTTGCAGCTTGTACTTGGATATACTGAGAGTTTTGCAACCTAATTTTGATGCTGAATTATATGAACTACACTTGAGGGCCTAGTTTTCTCTCAGTGTCTGAGGGATGTATATACATTTATCTCACTAAGACAGTTACATAGGCATTATTCTTCTACCTTCTTTAGTCAAAAGTGCCACTAACGGCAATGGAAGATTTGCCTGATTAAGGACTGTAGTGCAGGGTTTGGATTTGTAAATAGGGGATTGCCAGACAGATTGCAAGAGAAAACTACAACTACTGCCAAATTCCACAGATTTAGTTATTAGGAGGCAATTAGGAGCCATTATTAACACTTCCTACTACGTTAAGCTCCATTTGCACTACAACTCTTCAGCCAGTTTGGGCATTTCAGATGGAATAGTACTGTAAGTGCACTGTACATATAAGATTTGCAATCACATGTATATAACATGTATTAAGATGTCCCTAGGCCCTCCTGAGAAAACAAAATGTATTACTGGACATTGTCTTAGGGAGCAGAATTACAAATAAAAATATGGGAACTGAAGAAAAGTAAAAGCAAATCAAACCCTGGTCCAGCACCCTCTGGACCTGATTTTTCTCGAACAAGAGAATTTGCTGGACCAAGGGAGGCCCCCGCCAGTCACCCTGCCACCAGGCTGCCTGCCACTGGCCCCAGCTCGGCTGTCTGTCTGTCTGCCTGCCTGCCATGGTCTCAGCTGCCTTGCTAGGCTGACCTGGCCCTGGTATCCCTGCTGGGCTGCCATGGACCTGGCCTCGGTTTTCCTGCCAGGCTGCTGTGGCACCAGCTTCCCCTGCTGGGTTGGCCTGCTGGGCTGCTATGGTCCAGGCTCTTCTAATGGGTTGCCACGGCCGTGGCTCCACTGCCAGGCTACTGCCAGTCCCACTGGGCTCCCAGCCCAGCTGGACTCTCAGCTGCTGGCCCTTCTGATGCCTGACTCCCAGCCACCAGGGCTCTCTGGCCTGGGAACATCGGTGGTCCTGCTAGACCACTGATGTTGCCAGACCAGAGTGTCCCAGCTTAAGGAGGTGCAACCCGTATTACGTAATTGTTTCCCGGGTGTCTCAGTTGGAGGGCAAATGACATTTTGGACCCTGTTAGTTCTTCTTGAGATCACCCGCTAGGTGATAGGCCTGGCTTCCTGCATCTGTTTCTGGGCAGAACCCCACAGTTCAACCACACTGGGACAGAGTCTCTGGGCATTGGCCTTTTCTTTCTCAATCATGTTAACATGACAGGTCCAACTCTTGGCACCGCTGAGCCCTTTCACTTTAGGGATCTGTGTGACCAGTGAGGTAGTTAATGTAACTGAGAAAACAGCTTTTTTCAAAACAAAGTTCACCCGAGAGTACAAAGCACACATAGCACATGGTAAAAACAATCAAGGTTAACATGTACCTAAGGCTTAATCTTTCCTTGCAAGCTTTTGTGCATTTCACTCAGCCCAGTACCTCCATCTCTGGGTTATAAGAAGCAGCCTGCTTGTTGCATTATTTTATTATTGTTTATTATTTGTATTATCATAGTGCCTACGGGCCTCATTCCCATTGTGCTGGATTCTGAACCAACAGAATAAAAAGACAATCACTGCTCCAAAGACCTTACAATTTAAGTATAAAACAAGAGAGAAACTATAGAGGAGTACTGTACAAGGAAGCAATGAAACAATATTTGTCAGCACGACCACTACTGCTCTCAGCACACCAGCAAGCAGTCCTACCGTTATCACATTTTTTGTAAGCCTCAGAGCAAAGTAGAAAATATTAGTTTTTGGAGGAGGTCAATGAGTTAGTTTTTGAGATGCTTATAGGGAATCCCAAGAATTAGAGGCAGCATGAACAAAAGCACCAAGGTGCATGTCTGAAAGTTTAGGTGAGTGATGGAGACTGACCTCATGATCCAGTCAGAGGCTGAAGTTGGCTTTTTGATACAGAATGAGAGGTGATAGACACTATTCTATTGCTCAGAAATGTAAAAAAGGGAAAAATCACAGCCATGCTTTCTGCATAGCCCAATAATATTTGTGCAACCAGTAACCCAAGAAGGAAACAATTAACTGGCAAATCTTATTTCCAAAGATATGACATATGTGTTTGTACAACACTTAGTTCCATGGAATCCTGCTCCACCGATGAAGCTGTGAGGCACTAACATGATACAAACAAATAATAATATCAATAATGTTTAATGATGATACAATATATTGGCTCACTGAAATTGGTCTTGGCTCCCCATCCCTAACGAATAGCTCCAGCAAACACAAAGCCCGCCCTTGCTAATAAAATTAGTTTTTTAATGCAATGTGGTAGTGGCTTGTTCCTGTGGTGCTTAAGGGCCTATGTTTGAACCCCACTGAAGGCTGTGGTGTCTATATGCATGTGGGCATGGTTTGTTACAATGAGTAACAAGGCAGAAATAAGTGTTCTTTAAGAGACAACAGAGGGAGGAAAGAATCACAGTTAGGGAACTGCCAATAATAAAAATCCTTGCTAGGCTGCTTTAGCATGGAAAAAAGGAAAGGAGAAAGCCTAATAGGACCAAAAAGAGAAATCCTTCACCACAGATCAGCCCAAGAGCCTCACGGGTGTGTTTGTATATGAACTGACTCACTATGTGAAGGAGCCATAAAGATAGCAGTAAAAGCAAAAATCAAGCTAAGCACCCAAACAAGGAAGCAAAAACTCAGAAAATAACTAGAGAGGGTCTGGAAGCCTTACAGAGAAAAGAAGGGTCCAAGTCACTTTGAA